TAATTTGTGGCCAAATTCAAGTAAATTTTCAATATATCTCCCAACTGACTCCACAAATCAGTGTTAGAGCTGAATTAATTTTACTACCAAATGTATACCAAATCCATAATTATTTAACTGCAAATAAAGTGAAAATTACCGTCCAAACTAACTTCCTAATAAAGTAATAAAATCAGTAAGTATGAAATCCATTCTGGAATTACATTCCATAGAAATAACTTCAAAAGCAGACATATAGGTCAGCCACGGTGGCTCACATCTCTAATATCAGCACTATGAGAGGCCAAGGTGGGTCACTCGAGGTCGAGTTTGAGATCAGCCTGGCCAACATGGTGAAACCCCGTCTCTACCCCCAAAAATACAAAAATTAGCTGGGCCCACGTGGTGGCAGGTGCCTGTAATCTCAGCTACTTGGGAGGCAGAGGCAGGATAATCGCTTGAGCCCGGGAGGCAGAGGTTGCAGTGAGCTGAGAATACGCCACTGCACTCCAGCCTGGGTGACAAGAGACCCTGTCTCAAAAAACAAAACAAAACAAAAACAGACATAGACTGTTAAATTATAAAAGCTTATGACAAACAAATAAAGGCTCACAGCTACTGGTATAAACACTGAGAACAAATGCTCAGAGGGAGATAGATGATTGTGCTGTTTCATAGACACAGGACAGCAGGTCATGAAAGTGCACCCAAACCCCCAAGCATCCGGAGGTCTCTCATTCAGAAGCCTCTTTCAACTCAGCTTCTACCTTACCTGTTGTAAGACACACCAAAAGGTCTGTCACTTAGAAACACATGATTGGTAACCAGGGCTTTCGGTATGTCAGACCTGGGTTCAAATCCTAGCTTTGCAATTTTCTAGGAGAGTAATCTGACAAACCTCAATTCTCTTATCTGTAAAGTAAAACGGAGATCATCACCAACTAGTTAATGTTAGTAAATAAAAGCATAGTGTCCGAAAAAGTAAAACTAAGAAGGAATTGTCTAAATAAGAAAATTAAAAATCCCAAAAGTCAAATACTCCAGCACAGTAAAAAGAACCCAAAGGAAATCCACTCTAACAAACACTGAGCTGGAAAGGGACCCTGAATTCCAAGTTTTGGTTCTTCTGTCACCAGCTTCAAGACCCTGGGTTTAAGATCTACAGTACCAGGGGACTGAAAATCCCTTCTGCCTGTGACACAACACGACTATTTAGTCAGACTATTTAGACTACTAAGGATGCTATTTACTGTAAATAAGCCGAAGTATTACTTCCAAAAGTATTACTTCCAAAACTTTCTAAAATTTTCATTTAAATGCTTAGTTTTTATACCTTTAGGTCCTGATCAGTTTTCATTATGACTAAACTGCCAGTCAGTTTTATACATAAGACTGTTTCCTTCTGTAATCCCAGCACTTTGGGAGGCCGAGACGGGCGGATCACGAGGTCAGGAGATCAAGACCATCCTGGCTAACCTGGTGAAACCCCATCTCTACTAAAAAATACAAAAAAAAAACTAGCCGGGTGAGGTGGCGGGCGCCTGTAGTCCCAGCTACTTGGGAGGCTGAGGCAGGAGAATGGTGTAAACCCAGGAGGCGGAGCTTGCAGTGAGCTGAGATCCGGCCACTGCACTCCAGCCTGGGCGACAGAGCAAGACTCCCTCTCAAAAAAAAAAGACTGTTTCCTTAACCAACTTGTCTTAAGGTCAGATTGCTAAACAGTAGCAAAATCAGAATTCAAAACCACATCTATCTCCAAAGACCAAACTCTATGGCATGCTTCTTCCTCAAATCTTCCTGACTCACCTTCTGCAACTAGCAGCTTGCCTTTGCAAAGTAAATGGAAGTCATCAGGAGTGCAATCAGAAGTCATGGAACAGAGTCAAGTTATCTGAGTTAGTTGAGGCTTGAACTTCTGACACAGTACTCTAACCAACTTAATTAGACATTTCAGCTACTTAAAAGGAGGCTGGGATACCAAAGAAAGAAAGAAAGAAAAAACAAAAAGGAAGAAAGAAAAAGGAAAAAAAAGGGCAGGGTGCAGTGGCTCACGCCTATAATCCCAGCACATTGGGAGGCTGAGGCAGGCAGATTACCTGAGCTCAGGAGTTTGAGACCAGCCTGGGCAACATGGCAAAACCCTATCTCTACAAAAAATACAAAAATTAACCAGGCGTAGTGGCATACACCTATAGTCCCAGCTACTTGGGGGGCTGAGGCAAGAGAATTGCTTGAATCTAGGAGGTGGAGGTTGCAGTGAGCCGAGATCGCACCACTAAACTGCAGCCTGTGCAACAGAGCGAGAACTTGCCTCAAAAAGAAAAAGAATAAAAAGGTAAATTTAAAACAAAAAAACGCAAAAACGTATTAATTGGAAACAAAACCAAAAATAAAACACCTCTGAAATTACAAGTAAATGGGGCAGTTCATTCACGCATATTTTCAGGAGTCAAAGTTGTTCAAGATAAAATATTCAGTAAAATGACTGCTACGTTATCTATAATCCACACTTGCAAACAATTAAAAACACAAATAACTCTAAGTTATCCATAGTAGTGAATGGGGTAACAGATATACATATATTTGGCTTTAGAAATAAAGCATATAGTCTAAATAGATAATCGGAAGTAATAGATATCTGGTGCTTAAAGTATATGATCACCTATATACATTTGCCCCTCAAATTATAGCTTGATTTGGGCTAATCTCAAATTAATTTCCAAGTGGTAAGAGAGATCTGGACAAATGGTCTGAGAGACCAGGATTTCTAAAAAATACAGTAATATAATAAAAACCGCAACTTCCTCGTATCAATAGAAAAGAACGTTTTAACACATTCTTATCAATTCCACAAAGAATAACTCAACTAGGCACAGAAAAGTAACATTTCAATTCCTACTGCACACTAGAACCAAGTTAGCACCTTGCTGTTTCTATTAAACAATCTAGGATTAAAAAATGGTTTTGAATAATCCCATATACGGATAATCCAAAGGCAAACAGACACACACAAACTCACCATTTACAAACCTTCGTCACCAAGCACTTACAAAATACATTTCATAAGACAGAATAGAAAATGGAGCAAGAGGTGAGGTCACCTACCACTTTAGTTCTATTGAAAGACAGAAGTCATTATGTGCTCTCCCCAAACAGTAGGTAGCCTCCAAAAACAACACACACCCCTACGCCCCCCTTAATCTGGTATTGTCATTCAGTGGGGTGACCTAGGAAGGCCTTTGAAATGTGTTGTATCAACTCAGAGGGAATTAGACCGCATACAACGCCAAAAAAATCAAATAAATTTAAAAGTATAAAGATAATACATCTAAAATTAAGAACTAGGCATAGAATCCTCTCTGAGAGATGATTTCCAAGAGCTGATTTCCAAGACCCTTTGCAGTTAAACGTTAGTACATGATGAAAGCTCTTTAGGCTTAGCCTCACTTGCTGAATGAAGCCTGCTACCTGAGTTTCTATTAGGCTGTGACCAACTTTTGAACTTGCCACGATAGCACTAAACTACTGTTATGCATCCCACTGATAAAACTGGACATGTGGCGCTTAATACACCAAACCAGAACCATCGATGTGTGTTAAAGAACTCTCCCGTTACTATAGTGATGCCGACTCCGGAAGATTATCTGCATTTGATTGAGGTTTAGACAGAAGAGAAGCAGTTAACAGACACTGACTGTATACACAGCGGTCTGCCGGCACAGTGCAAAAAAGCCGATGTGCCTTGCAGGTTCAGGAAGTTGACTAACCCAAAGAAAAGCCCCATGCCCTCCTCTATGAAAGGGAGTGTGTGGTTGGTAGAACCCAAAGTAAACACGGAAAAACTCATTCAAGAATTTCCTTAAGGCCTACCGTGCAGACGTTGGAGGCAAGTTAAGACGTTGGGGAGCAGGTAAGAGAGAGAGACCAGAGTTCAGAAACAGAACGATAATGATCTACCAGCTCCGGTGGGGGGGGGGGGCCAAGCTAGGGGAGTTTGTGCCTCCTCTGTGGAGTTGGGGAGGAAAGGTACCGGGCGGGCTCTGGTCCTCCTCCGACAGCCCTTTCCAGCAGGCCTGGGGCTGCTAAGACCCAGGCCTGGCGTTCAGCAACAGCAGCTCTCTTCCACATGGTTGCTGGAGAGCGACCCTCCGAGCTGCCCCGAGGCCATGTGGCTGCGGCCACAGGGTGCCCAAACCCTGTGCACATTCAAGACGCGAAACCAGAGCAGAGAAGGTGCCGGAGGAAAATCCAAAGAATGGGATGTTGGGGTACAAGACTCACTTCCTTTGGGCTTTGTCCTTCTTGGCCTTGGTCCTTTTCTTTCGGGCCTGGAGCGCAAGCACTGCAGGAGAGAGGGATGGATGAAGGGCAAATGTGGAGCAAAGGAGGTGACCAAGGTGAGGGTGGAGACCCAGCAGGGGCGCCAGGCCCGGCTGCGGGGCCTGTCGCAGGGGCGGCTGCGGTACGAGCGCGGAGGCTTCGGCAAGGCGGCCGGCCGGGGGGCTGGCGGCCCACGGGGCACAGAGCAGCGCCCGGGCGGGATGCGCCGGAGGGGTCTCAGGCCGGGTCAGGGGGCGGGCGGGCGGAGGTCTGCCTCGCCCGCCAAGGTCCGGGCCCTGGAGTGGCCCCAAGGCGCAAGCCGGCCTGGCAGGGAACAAGGGGCGGCGACGGCCGGCGCCGGAGGACGCCCGGGCTGAGGGGCGCGGACCCGCAGCCCAGAGGCGGGGGGTGTGGGGCGGCGCCACCTCAGTGGAGGGGCGCCGCAAGCCCGGGGACCGAACCGCGGCAGTTAGGCGAAGCTCCGGGCGCTGACCCGGGCCTCGCCCCGGCGGCCGTTGCCCCTCGTGGCGGAGGCCGCTCCACCGCTCACCTTTCCGCTCCATGGTGAGACCGGTAACCGCCAAGCGCCTGCGCACTCGAGTGGCGGTGACTCCAGCTCCCGCCGCGGCCCAAAACCGAGCCCGCGCACACTCCACCCCCAGTCCCGCCCCGCCCCCGCCCCACCGTGCCGCGCGCATGCGCGTCGGGAGCGGAGCCTACCACCTGCTCCCGAGGAGGGGGCGGCAAGGAGAGGGAGGGGGCGCTGAGAGGAGGAACGTCGGGGGTGAACGTTGAAGGAGTGTTAGAGATCCAAGCTTGGAAACCTGGCAAGGTTAGTTTTATTCTATTTGCTTAGAAAAGGCGCAGAGAGCGGCAGGGCTCCCTGCATGCTGCTGAGTCAGAGCTTCAGAGGCAATTGGGATCTGCCTCAGTTTCCTGGCCTGTAAAATGGATTAATCAGGCATGTCCCAGTTTCTCCTTCCCTGAGCTATTGTGAGCCCAGTTGAGATACTATTTAAAGAAAATGGAAAAAAATTACATGTGAGAAAGAAAAGGGAGTGGGAGCAACACAGAAAGACTGGAAGGAAAGAACCTGTGACCCTATTATCACTTGAAAAGTAAAAACTTCAAAAGTGAATTTTCTCTTGAAATTTCAAGTTTAAATGAAAGCTGTAAAGGAAAGAAAGGGAAATGAGAATAAAAACGTTTAATGTTTTCTTATTCTACCACCTTCAATACATGATAAAGTTGTCTTGTTTATGAGATTTTTTTTTTTTTACTTTTCTAAGTGCATTATCTCATTTTATGTTTATGGCAACTTAAAGGCAAAATAGTTATTCCTTCCATTACACAAAGACACTAAACTTAAGAGGACCTGCCTATATGTTCAGAATCTTGGTGTACGACCCAGTTATTTAATCATCAAGCCCTTATTGTATAGCAGGCTCAGCAAAGTTTTTCTTTGGGCCAGATAGTAAATATTTAGGCTTTGTGGACCATAAGATCTCTTTCTCAGCTACTCAACTCTGCCACTGGAGCTCAAAAGCAGTCATAGAAAATATGGACTTTGTTCCTATAAAGATTTATTTATGGACACTGAAATTTTAATTTCATATAATTTTCGCATGTCATAAAATGTTCTTCTATTGATTTAAACATGGCCTTTGTTAGGTTTTGAAGGGAAGGTGAGGGTTAAAGAGGAGTAGTCTTGCTCTGCTACTCAGGTGGAGTACAGTGGCATGATCTCGGCTCACTGCAGCCTGGATATCCAGGGCTCAAGTGATCCTCCCACCTCAGCCTCCCAAGGTGCTGGAATTACAGGTGTGAGCCACTGAGCCAGGCCCTTTTGATCTTTTTTCAACCGTTTTAACTATTCTTATTTCAGATCTTAATTTACCAGCCCCTATTGTAAAGTACCACAGCTGGTCAGAGTGGAAGCTCTGAAGACCTTTGCTCTAAACAAGTAATTGAGAAGGGAAGATGAGAGGGCAATAGTACAGCACAAGTCAAGCATGGGGGCTTTGGCAGGACTTATTGAGCAAAGTAAGTAATTAAGCCCATCCACAGAGGAGGCCGTTTTTGAGCTGGGTCTTAGGAAATACATAAGATTTCTGTAGGTGGAGAAGGAGATGTCAGGCATTCCTGAATGAGAAAATACATTGAGCAAAAAGGCACAGACATGGACACCTGTAGGTGGGGGCTAGGATTGGGGCTGGTAACAACTGAAGGGATGAAATGGAAGGTGAGGCTGGAAAGGCAGGTTAGCCAAATTTGAAATTTAGATAATTGATATATGTTGCATGGAACCTGAATGATAGCATGTCTGGGTATATTGCAAAAGAAGACAGTACCTGTTGGCCAAGGAAGGATGCAGCCCAGTCTATTCCCTGCTGTAAAGTTGAAAACAAAGGAAGGTTAGGACAGACAGGGAAGCCCTAGACTCTGAGGATTGTGTGAGTTCAGGATAACCACATGTGGTTTAGAAAAGACAGGGAGAGAGCAGATGGCTAGGAAAAATCCCAGAATTGGGAAAGTACTGCCCACCCCAAAGTAAACTGTTTGAGTGTAGAGACCCTGCTTAGATTTTCCTTGATGTATACTCAGTGCCTACACAGTGTCAGGCACTTAGTAGGTGCTCAAATATTTGTCTAATAAAAGAATAAATGGGCCGGGTACCATGGCTCATGCCTGTAATCCCAGCACTTTGGGAGGCTGAGGCGGGCAGATCAAAGGTCAAGAGATTGAGACCATCCTGGCCAACATGGTGAAACCCCATCTCTACTAAAAATACAAAATTAGCTGGCCGTGGTGGCACATGCCTGTAATCCCAGCTACTTGGGAGGCTGAGGCAGGAGAACCGCTTGAACCTGGGAGGCGGATGTTGCAGTGAACAGAGATTGCACCATTGCACTCCAGCCTGGGCAACAAGAGCGAAACTCCGTCTCAAAAGAAAAAAAAAAAGAATAAATGATCTGCAGTTTATGAGAAATGTCAGGATGAAAGAGAAAACACTGAGAGGGACAATATTAGAGCTGTATTAAATCTGAATTGGTTATTGCAGACCCATCAAAAAGGAAATATGTTCAGCTTAGCATGAGACAGTCGTACCTATTCTGACTCTGAGTGACTGTTGCTTCTCTAAGAGCTTACTAACCATCTGTTTGATAACTCATTTTCAGACTTTTTCCAGAGTCAATGTGAAGTTCACTGGACTGAGTTCCCAGAATTGACCATTTCTCTTTTTTGTCCATCTGTTTTTCTCTATTCCTCCATCATGTTTTGGCTCTCCACTTTGTCTAAGATCTCTATAATTGTTCATATAAGTAAGTTTGTTCATTTCCCCTATTCTACAACCATCCCCTTTTTGTGCATTTTGCTTTAAATCTAACTTTAAAATCAGTTTTTTCTCCCAAGTTTGCAGAACTTGGCCTATTCTGGACTTTTACCCTTCCAGAATTTATTTATTTATTTTTCTTTGACAGGGTCTCACTCTGTCACCCAGGCAGGAGTGCAGTGGCGAAATCTCAGCTCACTGCAACCCAGGCTCAAGCAATTTTTTCACCTCAGCCTTCCCAGTAGCTGGAACTACTAGAGGCACATGCCACCATATCCACTTGATTTTTGTATTTTTTGTAGAGATGGGGTTTTGCCACGTTACCCAGGCTGGCTTGGAACTCCTGGTCTAAAACAATCTGCTCGCCTTAGGCTCCCCAGAAACTGTTCTTAAAAGCGGTAGCAAAAATAATTCAAAAAAAGCCCAAAAAACAAAAAAACAGTATAGGCCAGGGACGGTGGCTCACGCCTGTAATCCCAACACTTAGGGAGGCAGAGGCGGGAGGATACCTTGAATCCAGGAGTTAGAGACCTGTCTGGGCAATCCAGCAAGACCCCTTTCTGCACAAAAAGGGGAAAAAAAAAAAGACAAAAAAAGTGGTAGCTATTCATTCTTACATGCATACCCTTCTCCATTGCTGTTTTTTTTCCTGCAAGTCCCTTTAAAAGTAGAGGTATTCAGAAACCATAACCCATCATATTTTTGGCTGCTCATGGGTCGTCTCAGAATTTAATTTCTGAAAAGATGCTATCCCTTTTGAGCTAACTTACTTGTTAAGACTGCCCTGGAATCTTCTCTAATGCTTCTTTGACATTTTTGAAGTCTGAACGTCTAAAGTTGAGTTCACATGTTTCTTCATACCCAACATTCTCTGCCTTGATTATCACAAATTATTATGCTTTCTCTAAAGTTTTAATATGACTTAAATCCAAAGCAGCATATCCCGTTATGACGTTCCCGATGTCCTGTGAGATAAAATGGACAACAGGAGAAAGTGAAAATACATGAGATGATTTATTCTTTTTTTTTTTTTTTTGAGACGGAGTCTCGCTCTGCCGCCCAGGCTGGAGTGCAGTGGCCGGATCTCAGCTCACTGCAAGCTCCGCCTCCCGGGTTCACGCCATTCTCCTGCCTCAGCCTCCCGAGTAGTTGGGACTACAGGCGCCCGCTACCGCGCCCGGCTAGCTTTTTGTATTTTTTAGTAGAGACGGGGTTTCACCGTGTTAGCCAGGATGGTCTCGATCTCCTGACCTCGTGATCCGCCCGTCTCGGCCTCCCAAAGTGCTGGGATTACAGGCTTGAGCCACCGCGCCCGGCCGATTTATTCTGAATGAGTTAAGATTTCCAATAGCTGTCTGCATAATTGGAGAACCCCAACAAAACTTTCTCTCGCCTTTTGGATATGTGGTTTTGTGAATTGTACTGAGAAAATCTATAATTATGTTATAGGCCTGGGTATCAGGAAACAAATGGCACATTTAAAGGCTAATTAAAAAGAATGTAATGAAGGAATAAAGGTGTTAAGGAAGACAAACAAGGGATAGTCAGACATCCAGGGACTAGCAGCAGCTGGAGTTTTTACCATCTCTAGGCCTAAAGGGAGAAAACGAGGGAGATGTTATCATAACCCAGGGAGAGGTTTATTATTAATAGTTTGCCAGGGGCCGGGCACGGTGGCTCACGCCTGTAATCCCAGCACTTTGGAAGGCCAAGGCAGGTGAATCACCTGAGGTCAGGATTTCCAGACCAGCCTGTCCAACATGATGAAACCCCGTCTCTACTAAAAATACAAAAAAAAAAAATTAACCGGGCGTGGTGGCAGACACCTGTAATCCCAGCTACTTGGGAGGCTGAGGCAGGAGAATCGCTTGGACCTGGGAGGCAGAGGTTGCAGTGAGCTGAGATCCCACCACTGCTCTCCAGCCTGGGCGACAAAAGCAAAACTCCGTCTGAAAAAAAAAAAAAAAAAGTTTTCCAAGGCTGCCATAACAAAGTACCACAAACTGGGTAGCTTAAACAACAGAAATTTCTTGTCTCACAGGCTTAGAAGTCTGAAATCAAGGTGTTGGCAGGGTTGGTTCGTTCTGAGGGCTGTGAGGGAGAATGTGTTTCAGGCCCTTCTACTTGCCTTCTAGATAACCGTCATCTCCCTCGCCACATGCTCTTCCCTGTGCACCTGTCTCTCATTGTGTTGGGATTTCCCCTTCTTATAAGGACACCAGTCATACTGCATTGGGCCCCATTCTAAAACCTCATTTTAACTTGATTACCTCTGGAAAGACCCTGTCTCCAAGTAAGGACACATTCTGAGGTACTGGAGATTAGGACTCCAACATATCTTTTGTCGGGTGGGGAGCAAAATTCAACCCGTAACAGAGCTGTAGTAAGAGAGGCCCGCCTGGCAGCAGCTGTGCCCTTTAATGAACCCTGCAGGGAGAGGGCAGGGAAATAAAGACCCACATCTTCTCAAACAAGTGCCTCACCACTGACAAAACCCA